CCTCCCACTAAACAGCATTCTAAGATTCGCCACAGGTTCTACGTGGTTTTAAACCCTAAGTTTCTACATTACACGATAACAAAATGGGCCAATTGGCCTAAGTAGATCCCCTAGGAATTACCGGTATAACTTAACCTAACATACTTGATATCTAAATAAAAACAAATTATTTTGATTGTTATTGGAACAAACCGTATCTATAATAAATAAAAATATTTTCTAGTAAAGAATGCAACTAATCTCCTATTGATTACAGTAGATAATTATAGTATCGTGTAGTTTGTGAATAACGCCGAAGTAAACCACTACATTATTGATAGTTATTGTGAAACAAATTAATTTAGTCATGTCAGATGTATAGTCTACACATATAGCTAGTTTCTTATTATTATTCTTAGAAGTCACAATGATTAATTGTGAACAATGAAATGATTTGTATTATCGGTAGAGAGATTCAACTAGGTTAACCAACATAAATTAATCTTATTAATAGATCTAGTAATATACCTTGGTTCAAGTATCCAGACAACATTCAATTTAATGAAACAACTCGAGCAAATAAAATGCTATTTACTCTAAATCTTAAAGCATTTGCAGATATCAATATCCTGCAGATATTAATGAAAGGTTATAGTTAATAAACGCACATCTTATTTATTTAGTTGTAAATAGATGCAACTAAAATCAGTAAATGGAAGAAAATGGGTTGATATATTCATCTATCATTTATAAAATAAAAAAATATATTTTTATTCTGTTCTGTATAACATAGGTATACATATGTATTCTGTTCTGTGTTTGAACTTAAAATTTTAAATATAACCACAAAAAAAAATATTTTCTTGTAACAAGAAAATACGAAGTTTCGCAACTTCAAAAATGCTAAACCTTCATTTTTTGTATTTTAAAATGATGTTTAACAAACAAATTTTGTACACAAATTACTAATTATTAATTAATAATTAATGGAATAATGGTCTTAATGGTATTTGCATTAAGAACTCATGTCTGAAATTTATCAATGACAAAATATGAGAACTCTCAATAAATTTAAATTATAATTTAATAGAAATATGTGAATTGGAAAAAAATAAATAATTTTTTCTTATAAAACAACCCAAAAAGTAATATTTCATAACTTTACATCTTGTCCCAGAAAAAAAAATTTTTTTTTGCTAACGAAAAAGTAAAATTTGTCAAAAAATCAGTCGTTAAAATTAATATGAATTGAAGTCTTCTTAGTTAAAGACAAATAATTCTTTTAGAAAAGAAATTAAAAATGAAAACATTTTAGAAAGAATGAACAAAAAACATTGCCGATAGGAGCGGAAATAATTTTTCGGATGTCAGTTACTGAAAAGGATTTGAAATTTTATAAAAACACAATTTTAAAATTATAATAAATTTCGAAATTAAAAATTGAAAGGGTTTGAAATATTTCATACTTTAAGAACTCCTAAACCCTCAAGTAACTTTTCGAGTAATAGTTAATTTGAATCGCAAAATACTTGTATTATATTTACAAAATTTTTATCCATTATTTTTTCTATTCCATTATATGATACATTTTAATACTAGTATTTAAAATATATAAAATAAGCTGTTTTTCCTATTCATTTATATGATATATTTAAATAGCATATTCACTTTTCAATCACAATATACTTATATACTAATTAAATTAAGGTTTTGAATAAATTTTTATTTCAACATATTTTTGTAATCTGGTTATCAAGTATGAAATGCATTTGAAATACATGCATGCAAATAACCTCCATAGAACGTTATACAGTACTAGATCTTTCAGAGGTAATTTTCAATGACTTAACGGTACACAGCTGGTACTAACTTGGCCATAACTAGTTGCATGTTCGTTTTCAAAGCGTCATAAGTTTTAGGATTTATAACATAAATATAATTCTTTGCGTAACTCAACAGAAAAGTCCAGTGCTAACAAGTTGCAAAATTTTTACATGACTAAAACGCGAAATGGAAAATTTCTCACTTAATAAACCCAATACCGGAAATGTTCTATAGGGAATAGAATAGTTGGCTTGTTTTACGTCTTCGTCAGCTATCACAACAATTAGCTATAACAATTCCACACCAAATACCACAGCATATAGTGACTTTTTGTGGGCGTAGTGGTTTTATGACAGTTATTATTCTATAAGAACGAATTTCAGTTCCACAGATATGACAATTTTGTTTGTTTTTGTATCCACTAAAAGACAAGTAAAGCACATCACTGAAGAATATTAAAATTGTAAATATATAATATATAAATTGAAAAATATCAAATTTAACATATTGTAAAAAATAAAAATTGTGAACTAATCATATGATGCCTTGAGTAACATATTATTTTATGTCGAAAAAACCCTTCGGCTATGAGAACGTTAACATTAATAAACAATTTCGTTGAGTGGAAAATTACATTTTATTTCGGCGAACTTATAAAAATTGCAAAGATCTATTTTTATTTTTATTGATATTTTTTATCAGCGTATAGCAGTGGTGTTTTATCACAAGTACTTTAACTGTTTTATCATCAGGACTATAACCTGCTATATTTAAAAAATGCAAGTTCGTTTAAGATAGCTTAATTAGATAGGCACTATATAAAGCATTTCAAATAAGCCAATCACTTATCCACAATCAATATACTATATCATCTTAAGTTAATATTTGACTAGTTGCTATCAACTGGATGCGCAGTAAATATACGACATGCTAGGTAATTACTTAATAAATGCCTTTGATTATTTTCAATATCTTTTTTTAAAGTAACCTTTTGTTATTTTTTCACGTCAATACAGTGGGCTGATAAGTGTAAATACATCCATAGAATCAGCACAATAACCCAATCTAACCCATATAAACCAACCGACTTTATCGAAAGAATTTAGTAAAATAATGCCTTAAATTGCTCGCAACCGAAATTGGCAATGTCTAAAAAAATCCATGACTATGGGACATTAGCTACCGGATTACTTCTTCTCAATATCAAACCAAATACTACTTATGTTGACTACATTGGCTGCAGTACTATTGAACTTATTCTACAATTATATATTGAAATTCACAAGAAAGGCCAAGTACATGGTGGCTTCGTTTGCAGATACCGAGACACTTCAAGAATGACAGGAAGCAATTCTTTTGGAATATTTTTGATTATAAAAATATTGTCTTTATTTTAAAACATTATCTAATATTAAATACATTTCTTTCAAATCAAATTTCTTTTCAATGAATATTGATTAAACATTCTATATGTGGCACATTGTATTTATTATTATTGTTTTTGTTATTCTCAATCTAATTATTAAACCTAAATGTAAAGAATTTTTAATTCATAAAAGTTACATATATTCAGATTTCAGTTTCATATTGCTCTTCGTAGAAAGGCTAGTGTAACAATTACATATATGTAATTATTATTTTATAATATTTTGTATTAAGTAAATTTTAATAGCAAAATTTATTTATTTTATTTAAATTCCTTTTTAAAATTTATGTCTGTTTTAGGTTGTCATGTACACAATAACATATTTTGATGTCTAAACTGATTTAACTGATACTTATTTATTCGCATATTTTGAATTTAACCAACACTTCATTTTAAAATGAATCAAGTTTTCGTCCTTTAATAAAATACAAAAACAAAACTACAATTTATTAAAATATCTTTCATTGATTAAAAAATTCAACTAATGTTGTTAGGGTGATGTGACATAAAACTAATCAACATTTTTTATAAAAACCATAAAGGTACTTGTATTGCCTTTGTTGTTTAATATTAATAATATACAATCCGCTTTTTTTAGTTTTGCAGTTGCGTAAAATTGAAATTTTTTTAAAATAATTTTACATATTGAAGTGAATAAATTTACAAGTGTTTGGTAATTTCAGTATTTTTTATATAAAATCATATGATTTTACATTTTAGTTGAGTGTATTGAACAATTTTTAATTAAAACTATAAAATTTCTAATTTTATAATGTGAGTAGATTCTCTCAAATACCATTCAATTTTTAATTATATCAAATTACAGGTATTTTAAAAAATAAATTAAAATAATAAAATTGATGAACGAACGTCATAATAAAATATATATTAAGCAAAAAATTAATTAAACATTAATTACAACAAATGTTATTTATACAAAAATTAAATCGAAAAATTCGTTATGTTAAATCAAATGAATATGATTTATTAAACAAAAATATTTAATAATTTTTGACAATTATTTTTTGAAAAACATAAATGCATTTATTTTTCAATGATCTATATTGATTTCTTATATGCTTATAAAGAGCTTTTTTAGAACAGTACTGAACTACAACAGTAAAAATTCATTTTATAATATTTTAATTAATTGAAATTTTGGGTGAGCTGTTTCGAGTATTGCCAAATACCCATCATCAGAAGTTTTGGTTATATTTCTGTATTTAATTATTCGTAAATAATTTTTTGAGACTGCAAGTACCAGGAATCGCACTTGTGCCCTGCCAAATTTGAAGCTCAGTGTCAGCGCTCCTTAACCAACTGAAAGGAAGATCATGAGTTATTTGAAATATATGGAATTTTAAATAAGTGAAAGAAATCTTAGGTTACATTATATAAAAATTGTAGATTATACATGTATGCAGTGTTGATTAATAGCAATACCTTGATTCATTTCACATTACTATATATTGAAATCTAACCCGATGTCGCGCAAAAGTGATCTGAACAAGGTTGTAAGGTTGTAAAATGTTAACACCAATATAAAGAAGAAAATATGGCTCCTTAGTTTACGAAATAAAAATCTTTCTGTAATATTCGGAACGAAGAAAAATAGCGAAGTGTTAAATAACTAAGGCTGTATAATGCCGGAAAAACTAAACTATCACAACGATTACGTTAACCTGAGCATTTTATAAGAGAGGATCAATTACCCTGTCCATAGTTGACTTATATTCTTTTGAAATTTTGTGACTTTGCTGTGAAAGGTTTTATTAACAAATTCACTTGCTGTTTTTATATCAGAACGAAATCATAAACCAGCTGTAGAATAATTAAATTAATTACTCATATTTTTATTTTTAATTCTTTAATTTCAATACTATTCTGTTTGTGAAGGTTTTATTTGTTACATGATTCATGTATTCTTTCTTATGTATAGAACCTAATCTATGAACGTAATACTGCAAAAGTCATGCTAATGTTCCTACACGGTTCTCACGAGCGAGACCATTATTTTGAGAATATAAGTTGTAGTTTAACATCAAATTTTTCACACGAAAGTGACTATTATATTTAATAGAAACTTGTATATTTAATATAGAGGATTTTTTCGAACAACAACAAAAAATTCTTTTTATATTATTTAAAATAATTAATTAATAATTAATAAAATTTTACCCATGATTAAACAAACAATTCTTGTTCCATATAATCAATAATTATTCTTAATGCAATCTATTGAATATGATATTCAAAATAAAAAAATTTCCTTTGTCTCCATTAAATTTTTCTCAAAAGTGAATTTATTCTACATTTATTTGCAATAATACCTATATTATATATCCAACATATAAATATATAGTAGCCAAAAATACTCATATACAGCCATTATTTTTTTGTAACACATAAAAAAGTAATTGAAATATTTTTCTTTTCAATTTTGAGTTGCAATTAATGAAGTAGGAGTAGGAGTAAAAAAAAATCTTTATGTAATAAAGAGGCTAGTAAAAAATATTGGTATTTTTTCATAAAAATTTTTGAAGTAATTGAATACTTTGTTAAACTGTGTGATGTTATATTGTGTGTATATTCCTTTTTTTATATTTGCTTTTTTCAAATAATAATTATTTATATTAACAAGAATTTCTAACGCAAACAAGAATTGACGTTATTTAAAAATATTTCAGTTTATTGATCTAAAAATTGAATGTTTAAATATAAGTCTTAAAAAATGCATTTACATAGAAAAAGAAGAAACTGTAGAATCAAAAGAAGAAACTGTAGAATCAAACTACCACCTGGTCAGACCAAAATCTTTAGGAAGATTATATAGAGTCATTTCATACGCCTTAGCATATATAAGAATAACAACATTTCAATAATTAACCAGTAAATTATGTCAATTATGTTCAAAGGACTTTGTCATTTTTTATAGAAACACTTGGTATTTTTAGATATAATCGAATTTTAAATGTCTATTTTTTTAAAATAAATGGATTTTATTATTTGTTTTTTTTTCAACATAATCCAAGTTATATATAATTCGAGTTTGAAAATTTTGCAAGTTTTCAAAAAAAATAAATAAATAATCACCAATTAATACAAAAAAGTTATTGTTTAGTTTTAGATTATACTTAATAAAGTTTAAAGAATACAAGATTAAGAAATAAATAACGTTATTTTAAGTATTTTTTTTTACTGCATATAATATTGTACATACTTATTTTATGCAGTTGTTGTTATATTTAAGTTCCTGATGAAAAAACTTTAAACAGTAGCAAAAACTGCAAAGTTTTTCCTTGTGTTAACCAATTTTAGGAATGAATTCAAATACTTTTCATACTTCAGATTAAATAACTTTAAAATCACCTTTTAAAAAAAAAGCAAACTTTTGATGAATGGAAGTTCAAATACTTATCGAGAACTTATGTAAATTTTTAACATTGTACATTTTCAACAGAAGTTTTTTTACAAAAATTTTTTTGTTAATTTCTTTCATTTTTTAAGTACTGTTAACTGGCACTTTTAACATTGAAAATATTTGTATAGAAATTTTCTGTAAAAGTCTTTGTAAAAATATTTTATGTTATTTTTTACTATTTAATTTTTGTAACGATGGTCTGCGTAGTACTTAGTATTGCTTTTTAGTACTGTAAGTTGGTTTCTTAAGTACTTATTTATTGTATATATATAGCAATCAAATGGTATATTATTGATTCGAAAATTTAATATCAGTAAATATATTTTTTTGCTTCGGATATAAGTTCATAAAATTGTTTTTTAAAAGTGTGATCATGAAAATCACCACTTCTGGATTTTTTATAAATCCTGTAAAGTAGAATACCAACTTTTGGCCACTCTCTATCATCTCTTTTTTTACTTACTAATTTTATGAATACTGTTCATTTAGGGTCTATGAGTGTTTATAGTTAATTAAGATAAGCCAATCATGTAAAATAAATCCAAAGAAAATATCCACGGCTTGGATATGTGTAAATAGGGGTTTAATGTATATTATTATATTTTTGAAACAAATAAATATTTAGTTATTAAGTTTACATGTGCTTTTATATAAGCCAAACACAAAATAAGTATTATATATTTTCCTCATATTTGCTAATTATTAATTTACATCTTGTATATAAAACAAACTCGAAAAGCAACACAGCGGCTGTGAAACACGAAACCATCCCAGACATGCAGAGAAAAAAATGCAAGTGTTTGTCACTTGTCTCAAAATATGGTGGTCAGATCGAATATCGAATGAACGCCTACTGAACCAAATGGCTCAAAAAGCAGCACAAAATAAAATAAAAGTGAGAAAATGTAAGTGGATAGGCCATACGATTAGACAACCGAGAGATTATATAGCAAGGCAAGCGTTGGCATCGAATTCAAAAGGTAGCAGAAGACCTGGTGCGCCAGCGGAAACTTGGAGATGAACGGTCGAAAGTAAGCTAGCCAAAACACGACATACATGGAACGACATCTACAAAGAAGCACTAAATAGAGCCAGATTAAGCAGAATTATGGAGTCTCTATGCCCCACTAGGGGAAAATAGACAATACTAGTAGTATATATGTGACCGTGCATAAGAAAGGAACCTGAAGGTCAATTATCTTCAGAAAAATTAAACAAGTCACCTTTATTACTTTTCAAAGTATTCGTATCAGTATTACAATATTATTTTTTATTAACATAAGTGATGGAACTACTATTTTATCGAAGGGAATATCCAATAAATTTAAGTTTACTTTGCTTATACATCCTGTGTGCTCATAAGATTTAACTTAAACTGACTATCTGCTTTTAAAACTTAATTAAAACTTAAGCATTCACGTTCTAATAAAGATATTGGTTTATTGAAAATATCTATTAGTATATTTGGCTTTCAAGAGATTATATTAAAAAATGAGCATACAGACTTCAATAAATTTTTTTTAGTATTGCCATACAATTTATTTAAACAAATTATTTATAATAAAGATATAATTAAATATATTGTTAAAAATATATAAATAAATTTTTTTTATATTCTCACATAAATATATTAATCATTTTATATCAGTTTTAGTTTATATTTTATTATTAAAGTCAAATTATGTGTCACTGCCTTTAAAATTATGTGACAAAAATAAATAAATTTATTTACCATTTTGCACTTTCATAAAATTTGTTTTGCATATACATTTCAGATATATTTTGGGTTTTCTACTTTAATATTATTCATATATTTGAATGAAGAAAAAGAATATCTTTTTGGCGAACAAGACCAACCCGCTGGGGAAAGTATACTAGAAAAAGGAGACATAACGGCAAGTGAGTATGAATAGTTTCACAAAGGACTACCATATAATATAATTTTGTATATTTTTTATATAAAGCATATTTACACAAAGAAAAACAAAATAAATAAAAATTTGTTTATTTGGCTTGTATATTAAATTTTATGAAGTTTTACTACAACAACAATGAACTTTTTGATATATAATATGTAATTTTTTTGCAGCCACTGTGATATTCAACGTTTTATTTTTTGGCTGTTCTTTCCTATTGGCATTTTCATCAATTTTAGTGTTAGTAGGTTTAAAGAATGTGAGTTTCCTTGCTATTTTTAATAAAATTAAATATTTTAAATACATATACATAATTTTAACAAACATTCTTTAATAAAGGACAAACGTGAACTTTTAATACCATGGATAAGTTTTATGCTGTGCGATGTTTTAATTGAAATTGCGCACTTGATTTACTTATCATTCAAGGAGAAAGTAATTTTCGACCCAATTGTTGGCTTTCTATTTACCATAGACTTTTTCATAATGTGTCTCAATGTAAGTTGTCTACAAATTCACTTTATTAATAGAAATAATCAAAATAATTAATTGTTATTGTTGAAAAAATGTATGCTGCTTTATTTTTATTGTGCAAAATCACCAAGAAATGTTTTTGTTCTACCTTTTGTAATAAAATTAATTTATTTTTCTTATTAAGTGCTATTGTCTGCTTTGCGTGATATCACAATACCAAGACTACAAACAAGGACGTGGTTGTGGCCGAACACAGATGAGAGTAAGCATTCGTAAGATAAATCTGATTTTTTCCTTTATAACAAACATATGTAAATGTATAAACTAATTTATAGGCATTAATATGTTAGTAGCTTTGTGTTATTTGCAAATATTTAAAGATTATTTTATTTATAGGCTGAAGTAATGCTACAAGTAATGCGTAATGAACCAAATGGTACTTCATTAAGTCCACCAGCATATCAGCAGAAGAATTTGGCTACAAGTCCTTTTGTAACTTCAAATCAGCATACGAATATCTCGACTATACCTGAAGAAGCTGAAGAAAGTTTGAAGCACACTCTTACTAAAGGTATGTTGAATGAAATTCATTTTTAAAACTATTCCTGCAGAAACTACAAAATTATTTTTACAATGCATTCAAGTAAGTTTAAAATCAAAAACTATGTTTAGAAAAACTTTTTGATGTGTTTGGTTATGTGTTTAGCAAAATTGCAAACTATTTTGAGAATGTAATGCATGTAAGACATTTAAAAATATTTCAACACAAAACAAATAATTTGCAAGAATTTTCGTTTTGTTCTGTTTTCAAACAAATTCTTGTTTTAAGGATTTTCTTATTTAAATGATTATTTCTGCTCTTATTTGCAAAGCAATATTTTCAGAAATGACAGTAAACTGAATCCCTTATATAATTAATTTGTACCAATAAAAGGACAATACCATAATAAATATTATTTTCTAGAGCAATGCGTACGTCAAACTGTCCTTTTTGACAAATTATAAACTCATCTGTTTGTACTGCAGAGATTTTAGACAAACGCAAGCATAAATCCTTTAAAACGCTTTAAGCTTTAGAAACGCACAAAGTTTTTTAAAATTCTATTTCGTTAGAGCTAGTTAAAGACAATGTGGATTAAGTATAAAATCTATATGCCATCGGGGCAATGTAACATAACATATTATGAAACAAGTCAATAACAATGTAAATATATGTATGTATATGTACGAGTATGTTGTACAAGTATATATTAATGCGTGGCTTAAAAATTGTACCACAGAATTTAAAAATACAAAATTTTTCAGTAACTTTTTTCAAATGTTGTTTTCATTCAAAACACAAACAGAACCCATAACAACCCAAAAATAATAAAAAATATATTGGGTGATGTGGCTTGTCCTTATAGAGGACATGCATTTTCATACTTGTAATGTATTAGGTGAAATGTTTATACACTTAATTCTCCGTACAAGGCATTCACGCAGAACAAAACAGTTTGATATTTACGATTATGACACGTAGGGAAAGATATAAATTCATTTTTATAACAATATTTTCGCATTCTTCCATACATATTCACTCGTTTGTATATATTATACATAAATATTTTTCTTCCTTATTTTGTTGTTCTATTGATAAAAGTTTTTGTGTGAACGTGGTTAGACACATCGTTTTTGGTTATGATTAATTTCTGGCATTTAGTCAACTTTTAACCTACACCTACACAATTTAAAATGTATTTTTCAGGCAATTTAATAATCTGCCCTAAATATGTGTAATATGTTATATTAGTGTTAGCAAAATAAATGGTTTTTTCTTAAAATTTGTTTATATGAATGACTAAAGAATGAAGTTGAAAAATATAAATATTTTTAATGTTTATTAAAGCCTACTTGCACATATTGTATTATAAAAAAAACCTCAAAAAAATATTTAATAACAACTAGATTTTTTGTAACAGTCCGGTGGACATATCCCAAAACTGCCAAAATTATGGCTAGTTATGACATATACCAATTTCCCTAATCTTGGTTTTCTGCCTAAACAAGACTTTTTGGTGCAATATGTGTTGCGCACATATACATAAACTTACAGCACTTTAACTCAGATGGACTAAACTTACCCCACTTTGTTAAAAATAAATAAACTATTGCAAGGCTGGTTCACTACAAATAACACCTGTACTAGCTCCTTTTAAATAAATACAAATATATTAGTTTAAAATAAATAAATAAAAATAAAAATAATTATATATTGCTGTCAAAACAAACGTTCGTATTATAGAGAAATAGTATAAGGTTTCTTATATAGAAACAAAAATCACCGTAAAATCTAAGATTATTAATTTAATTGCTAACTTCAACTATTGTATGGATTATACAACTTCTCTCTAGCGCTATATAGTAAGTAATAAGTACAAATGCATTTTACTCATTTTCTGTGTAAAGCAAATAGTTTCAAATACACAGTTCTACAAAAACAGTAGTTGAAATTGGATAGAACATCTGTAAAATTAATTTGCTAATATTGACAAACTTTTGTGTCTTTTCTTTGTTTTCGTAATAACGGCAATTCTCTTTATAGCAAACAATAGTTTATTTACATTTAAGAAACACTATTTTAAAATAACTATTCTATTCTATTCAGAAGTTTCACAGATCTAACTAGAATAATTAGTCATATGTGCAGATAATCGGTAATAATTCTACCTTCTAAAATCCTACCTCCTACCTCCTCAAAAAGTACCCGGATTTTGTAAATAAAACACACAAATTTAAATTTTATTCCAAATTTATTTTATCCCCTTCAAAATATGCTCCTTCTGAAGCGATACACATATGCCAACGCTTAACCCAATCTTCCATACACTTTTCGTAGGCTCGTGCAGGCACGGCTTTTAGTTCCTTCGGCGAAATCTCTTTTACGGATTCAATCGACTGAAAACGCTTACCACGAAGGGGCAATTTAAGTTTCGGGAACAGGAAAAAGTCACACGGATCCAATTCTGGCGTATATAATGCCTGAGCGATGACAGTGGTGCCGTGTTTGGTCAAAAAATCGCGTACAACAAGAATTTTCCATAGTAAAAATCGCTAAATGCACTTGAGGTAGTCTCACATTAACAGCTGCTGTAATTGACAGATGGTGCTCAAACTTGTACCATATGTCAAGAAAGAATGTACCAATATACCAAAAAAATTTTGAAAAAGTTCTATTACTTAAGGAATAGTTAACAAACAACAAAATCCGGATACTTTTTGAGCAGACATCTTTTATGTTGCATAGGCACAGGCAGCATGGCATCTTTTTTTTTAGTGGAATTAATTTTTTAAAGAATTTCGGGTATAACAATTGCAAGCAATTTCAAAAAATAATCTTGCTTCAAAGTTTAATGTCATTTTTACTTGTCCTTCGCATATTAATTATTTGTCTTAAGATCTTTATGTGAAGTTATGTTGGATTGGTATAACCGCCTTACCCACAAAAGCCCACTTAAACTAAAATAATGTTCATTGTGATGCCACAGACTAGCGTTATTCATATACAGGCCAGAAGAAATAATCGTAGTAGTCACCGTAAAGACAACGCTGAAAGATAGACTCCCTCATTCAAATAAACTAACCTGACCAGTCTAAAAAATTAATTAAATCCATACTTTTACAGGATGACAGCTATGTCAAATCGGTAAGAACAAAAATTTTTAGTCTTCTATTAATGAAAGATGAGCATGGACAAAGAAAATAAAACACGAATTCGTTTTAACGCGAAATCGAACTTTAAGAACTTTAGCAAGCCTGTTCTGTGGCTTGCTCATATATTCAAGAAGTCCAATATGTGTATCTTTAGTATTCGAACAACTAATATAAGTTAGGTTATCTGTATAATCTGAACTACCGCATTTTATGGCAACCCGAATAGTCGTAATTATCCCATAGTTTAAATATTAAATTATACATACAGTACTAATTAAAATAAATATTAAAAAGTTAATTTGTATATAGACAGAGTGACAGACAAAAGGATAGATTACCAGAACGATTAATATGTCTAAATCGAATCAAATGGCTTCCAATATCTGCAAATATATTAATTATATTCTAATATCCGATTACTGCGCTACAATCAATTAAATCCCTCAAATTTAATTTACTAATTTGCCATACATTATGTTATAATTATTATAATGATAGTTTTTAACAAGGAAAGTCTTAGGACTAAATTAGTTCTAAAACCCCTTGTATTTCCATGGTTATTTATCTTACTTTATTAACCATATCTCACAAGTCATCTGAAATTTTCATACTATTGGAGGTACAAAATAATCAAATTAACATTATTTATAGCGTAGCAAATTCTAATGTTATTTAAAAATTTAATTGCTGAGCTAAAAAGCTATAAACTAAATCAGTACCATAAGCAAAACGTAAAAAATGTACAAACTTTAAATAGCATGTTAAATCATAATTTTATTTTTCCTTTTATATATTTTTTATATTTCAGAATGTACGAATTCAATGGATAGAGAAACATTGGCAATTAATGTTTCTCCAGAAAATTGTGCACAACATCGATTCAAAATACCAACCATTACAGTGGATTCCAATTCCAAACTATAAACCGTGCGAGAACACTGATTACCAAACGTCAATTGAAATTGAAAGTGCTTATTTTTAAGAATGAAATTAATTTGGAAAGATTTCGAATTTTGAACCTAATTTATCACAAATAAAGTTATTTTTTTAAAATTCAATATTAAATAAGTTTAATTATTATAAGGATATTAAATAAATATAATTATAAAACTAATTCCAGATACATTTTTTGTTTTTATTTAAATTTTTATTAAATCCTATATAAATTACATTTTCAGATAAATTAGGATTAACACTTGCTAAGATGATCAGTTAATAAGTTGCAGATAAAAACTGGAACCAGATAGCAGAAGCTCCTTAATTTTTTTGAAAATTGAAAATAAATTTTGAATTGACGTATTTCTTGTAGAAACGTAGTACCATAAGAAATGCATATAACACATATGAAGTTATAATCCTGATCCCAACAATATTCTTACAAGTTGTCTATATATATATATTTAGAATTCATTATACAGTAAATGCGATTTAGCTTGAAATATATTTAGTATAAATATTTAGAAAGCATTATAGATCAAATTTCTGTTATGGAAATAATTTTAATTTAATGTCGCATTTTTATGACTTGACCACTGTGCATTTGTAGTTTCATATTTCTATAAAAATGTAAATTCTAAGTTTATGAAGCGAACTGAAATGAGTAAAATATTTAACTTTTCCTCCTTTTGTTACTAATTGGATTTTATAATTGTTTAATTAAACTTAAATCTTTTACACGTGTAGGAGAAAGCAAACTTCAAAGACATAAGTTAAGTCAGTAAGAAAGCCAGTTATTTGAAATGAGAATTTATATGTAGCATATTAATTAAAAAAATTTGGATTTTAAATTTTATTGAACGATAATGACATGCCACCCTTATTTCTACTAGATAGAAAGATGAGAAGGATTTTCCTCTTATGATCATGATAATTAATCTTTAAGTCTATTAAAGGTAATATAAAGGCTATATAACGGTAATTATATTCTCTAACAATAAATTCAAGATAAATAATATATATTGAAATAAATCAATAAATCATAACTTCTAACAACAAATTCAAGGTGACCTACACCTAACAACAAAGTTGCGAGTAAATCCTAAGATTACATTCTCTGTATTTAAAAATTTCATATCTGATTTTAAAGTTAAAGCATTCAACTTTTTTTTGTGAATTTCAAAAAAAAACTCGTACGCCTTTTTCAATTTATAATTATTTTCATTTTGTTTCAAATTTTGTTAATTCTATATTTATTTTTAATAAATCATGAAAAATATTTTTTCTTCGTCTTTTTTGACCATTTATATAAAGGTTATAAAATTTTCTAGCATGACAACATGTAGCATATAATTGCCGATGACATAAACAGACATTTTCCAAAACCAGCCCATATATGATCAGTGTTTGGACTAGTGAATATTTGATTTACATCTCAAATCCCAAACAGATCTAACGATGCAATTGTTTAAATTTTTTTGGAGCGTCAGTTGATAAAATTACTATGCGAAGCGCATTACATATTTTCTTGTAAATTTACTACTTATTATCGTTGATTCAATTAAGTTCTACATAAATTTTCTAATATCTAATCTTATTCGATTATATAATTTGGGTGAACTTAGATGGCTTAATAAAATTCTTTGTAAATCAAATATCAAACGTAGAAAATTTCTTATTCATTTAAAAAATTCTGCATTTTCGTTCTTGTTTAATAAATTCTAGAATTTAAATTTAAATATTTAAATATACAGTCTATACAAACTTAATATAAATTTTATAATAATAAAAAGTATAAATAGTTAAAAGTATATAAATTGAGAAGGAATAAGATACCTACTACGTATATCTTAATAATTTTAAAAAAAATCATCATTTGTATTCTTCGCCAGTTATTTAAGATTAACTCGTGTTTACCAGCAGATTATGCTCTATTACGCTCAATGTTTGTTCTGATTTCAATTAACCAACCCCCGTAGTAAGGAATTACGAAATGCTTGAAAAAAGGAATAGAGATACAAAGATAGAAGATGTGTAGATACATTTTTGTTTGGTATGATTGTGATTTTAATTCTCATTGAGTTCAGTCTTGCTGATGTGCAAATAGTTGGAATAGAGCGGTAAAAAGCATACTTACCTGGCGTAGGGGTTACCGTGATCAAGAAGGCGGTTCCCCCGAAGCGAGGCTTGGCCATTGCACTACGGTTGAGTTGACCTTTGCGATTATTCCTAATGCGAATAACTCGTGCGTGTAATTTTTGATAGTCGGGAATGGCGTTCGCGCCGTCCCGGATAATTAATAAATTTCAGATACTTTTTTTTAGCGAAAGTAATCCGTGTAATAATAGATTTATAAGTGTGTGAAGTTCAACAATTTTATATAGTATAGTCACACAGTGGGTTCCGTGCTATTCAGAGATAGTATCGAATTTCTTTTGATTTTACTATAAATAAATAAAAATCAATATAAAAATAATAAATTTACTTTAAAATAAATAGTATAATAACAAATATTCTTTGATAGTGGTTTTTACAAGATATTTGGAATTGTAGTATATAATAGCGCTTATATAAATAATTAGTATTACTTTTTTGTGATATTTGAAAATCCATTTAATCATTCTACATAAATTTTATTATTATTTTAAAAGATACATTTTTATAGCAATTTATTTAATATCTGAGCAGCATTTCCGCTTGATAAGCGAGATATTCGTGTGCGGTGCTAAGAAATATAGAATATAGGTTATTTGAGATAGCTTAGACCCGAAAGGCCTTACAGCTGCTTCGAGTCAGTAATGAAAATTCGCTTAAATCTAAATTTAAATTAGATTTGAATTTAAATTATTCACTGGTTTCGTAATTGAATTTATTCCTATTAACTAACACATCTCAAAGACACTTACAGATTGTGTGAAATGCAAAATCATACTTCCACATATCTTATTTGCTTGCGCCCTATAATTGCTGGGAATAGAGTTAAGTATATTCATTTAACTTAAATTGAATTGAACTGTTTAGAAACTAGAACCAAGACACATCATTAGGTTTGTCAATAGCCTAAATTTGTTTAGGTTACTATAAGGAACTCTTTCTAGATATAGCATAAGTGCACCATTACGCCTTCTGATAATCATAGTTTTTTAGTAATGACTGATCATAGTTAGTCATCATAGTTATATAATGTTTTC